TGGTGTACCTAATAAAGTGGCCGGTGAGTGTATATTGCTAATATACACTCACCGGCCACTTTATTAGGTACACCACGCTAGTAATGGGTTGGACCCCATTTTGCCTTCAGAACTGCCTCAATTCTTCGTGGCATAGATTCAACAAGGTGCTGGAAGCATTCCTCAGAGATTTTGGTCCATATTGACATGATGGCATCACACAGTTTGTCGGCTGCACATCCATGATAAGAATCTCCTGTTCCACCACATCCCAAAGATGCTCTATTGGATTGAGATCTGGTGACTGTGGAGGCCATTTGAGTACAGTGAACTCATTGTCATGTTCAAGAAACCAGTCTGAGATGATTCCAGCTTTATGACATTAAGCGTTATCCTGCTGAAAGTAGCCATCAGAAGATGGGTACACTGTGTAACTCATAAAGGTATGGAAATGGTCAGCAACAATACTCAGGTAGGCTGTGGCGTTGACACAATGCTCAGTTTGTACTAATGGTCCCAAAGTGTGCCAGGAAAATATCCCCCACACCATGACACCGCCACCACCAGCCTGAACCGTTGATACAAGGCAGGATGGATCCATGCTTTCATGTTGTTGACACCAAATTCTGACCCTACCATCCGAATGTCGCAGCAGAAATCCAGACTCATCAGACCAGGCAACACTTTTCCAATCTTTTATTGTCCAGTTTTGGTGAGTCTGTGTGAATTGTAGCCTCAGTTTACTGTTCTTAGCTGATAGGAGTGGCACCCGGTGTGATAATTTGCTGCTGAAGCCCATCCACCTCAAGGTTCGATGTGTTGTGTGTTCAGAGATGCTCTCCTGCATACCTCGGTTGTAACGAGTGGTTATTTGAGTTACTGTTGCYGTTCTATCAGCTCGAACCAGTCTGCCCATTCTCCTCTGACCTCTGGCATCAAAAAGGCATTTGTGCCCACAGAACTGCCGCTCACTGGATATTTTCTCTTTTTCGCACCATTCTCTGTAAACCCTAGAGATGGTTGTGCGTGAAAATCCCAGTAGATCAGCAGTTTGTGAAATACTCAAAATAGGCCATCGGGCACCAGCATCAATGTCACATTCAAAGTCCCTTAAATCACCTTTCTTCCCTATTCTGATACTCGATTTGAACTGCAGCAGATCGTCTTGGCCATGTCTACATGCCTGAATACATCGAGTCACTGCCATGTGATTGTCTGATTCCACCTTTGCGTTAATGAGCAGTTTGACAGGTGTACCTAATAAAGTGGCCAGTGAGTATATATTGCCATACAATGACGAAATTTGTGCTCTGCATTTGACCCATCCACACCCAAGAGGAGCAGTGGGCAGCCATGTGAGGTGCCCAGGATGCAGTTGGGGCTTGGATGTCTTGCTCAAGGTCACCACGGCACGCGGATATGGTGGGGAGTAGAACCTGTGACTTGCGGGCCCCAAAGCTGGCTGCTCTACCACTACACCGCAACTGCCCCAGTGATGATGCTTGCAATACCATAGCGCACCTAGTGGCTAAACACCTAGAAAACCCCAAGGCCTATGCTAGAGCGCGCTTTGTTGATTTTTGTTCTGCTTTTAATACTTTCCAGCCTCATGTCCTGATTGCAATNAAAAAAAAGAAGCTGCGACCAACTCTGCCTCTGGGTCTCACAGGGTCTCATATGGATGTACAATGGAGCTTCTGCTATTATTAGCCATGCTAACGTAAACGCTGGCTTTGGGGGGCGGGGATAATGTCAACAGATTTTTGGAGGGCGTTACCAACGGAGCTCATTAACATAAACAGCTCTTCTGAACGGAATTCAGAGCAGGCAGAACTAGAAAATGGGGAATTTTATTATCTGTGTCGTGGCAAGTTTATCAAGAATGCAGAAACACGTTGGAATAAATGCACAGAAAATCTGCGTGTATGGTCATGAATTATTTAATTCTGGGCAACAACAAACAGAAAACAAATCAAGGAAGTCTGTTGGATTGTGGACGCCAGCAAACCAATGATATAACCTCATGTTAACACCATGTGACAGTTTACAACCAATCACTATCCGACTAATGTTACT